TCGGGAGGCCGAAAGGGGATTGGTAGGGTTGACTGGGTTTAGCGGACGATCGCACTGTAGGGGATGAGGAGGGGGAGTGCGCGTGCTGTGCGGGGTCTCGCGGCCAGTTCGGATCGGCAATCACAGTGAGATAATTGTCTCATTGATTCCGGAGGGGGAATGGAGTGGTGATCTGCCATACACCGCCCACGCCTACAACGTGGACGGGAGTGCGAGAGAGGCGATTCTTCTTGCACATGCGAGCGAGAGAGAGAGAGAGGGAGGAGAGAGAGAGAGAGGGAGGAAAGAGAGAGAGAGAGAGGGGGGGGGGGATGGGGGGGAGACTTCCAGAGAAGTCGCGCTGGGGGAGGCTCCCGCTCCACCCACCACATAAGATGCGCCCCCCGCGTGTCAATTGGATCGGATCAAGTAGTGTGTGTGAGGATGTTCCGAGTCCGGGATTAGCGTTTCAGCTGATTTGCCCGCCCGCGGGTAACTCTGCAGTACTGCTACTTCCGCTACCGCGCGGGGAGGAGCGAGGCGCAGCAGCAGAGGATATGACAAGGGTCATGTCCTGTCCAGGCGCGCGGCATAGCCAGGCGACAGCCGCTGCGACACGGTTTGGCTGGTCGCCCGCCACACAATGCCCCGCCGGACCCGCCGCACCACCCGCCCAGCCGGGCCGAGCCGGGCCCGCCCATGGCATTAATACGTAATTAATGATGGCCGAAAGTCTTGGAGCTATTTAGCAATTTGTCATGTTGCTCCGGGCTTCTTGTAGTCGTCGGGCCGTGTTGTCCGGCCCGGCAGAGGAGCAGGGGGTGTCGTCGTCTTTGTGCCGACCGCTCCCTAATGGTCCGGCACATAGCCTCTTCTGTTCCTTGGCGCTCGATGTGACATCCCCGGCGGCGTCTCCCTCCTCGTCCCTGTTGGTTACAACGTGAAGCGTACGACGGCGACGTCCTCGATGTGTCCTCCCCTTCCCCCACACCCCTCCACCTCCTTCATCGTCGTCGTCCTGGCGAGGCTGTGATTACCGTGTCGTCCCGTCCATACGTGGACGATCACATTAAGGATGCCGCCGAGGCCCGGCCGCTCACCTGGGATTAATTGATTCGCCTGTTCCGCCCCGCCCGCCCCATACATCCAGAAGAAGACACTGTAAAACCGACTGTCGACCATGTACGCATAGGAAACAGCATACATGCAGGCACGCAGACGCAAGTGTCACCTACAAGGTTGACTTTGTTCGATTTCAGCCGCAAGGGTATCGGCGGGCGTCTCTTTCCTCCCTTCAGGTGGTTCAGTTAGTAGCGTCCACTGTGGGCGCGAAAGTCGCCGAACATTTATTTCCCCTCTCTGTGCGTGCAAGAAGATCATGCAAGAGCCGTATATGAGATGTAACACACGGGCAAAAAAAAA